AAAAATTATGCAATCCCCAGAAGGTGTACGGGTTTTTGGCTAAGACAGGCGGGACTATTAATGGTGGCTGTTAACAAGTTTACAATGATACAATTAACAAGGATTCGTGGAAAGTTAAAAAGAAAAAAAAAAAAAAAAAAAAAAATCCGAAGTAGGTGCATGGGGATGATGACTACTGGGATAATAATAATAATAATGCAACACTCTTTTTAACAGTTTATTTTTAATACTATAAAAAAGTTAATTAGAGACATTAGAAAATGTTTAATTAAATTGAAAATGTGATTATAATATCTATATAAATTTAATCCTTTATTAGTTAAATTTAATTAGGCCAAGATATTTCAATTTCGGAAACCTTAAAGCAAGCTATTACCCCAAGTTCATAAACGGGTGTTTCATTTTTTATTTCTTAAGTTCATTTTGACGAGACCATCCTTATCGTTGATTTTCAGTTTTCAGGTCTTAGTCTTCATTATGTGGGGTCAGTGGGTCCCGGAAAAATCTATACTCTGTCACATCACTGCTATTTTTCATGCATATGGACTGTACAAATAGCTTTCTGCTTGACTTGACTAAAAATTAAAAAAATGTCACCATGTGTTCGATTTTATTTAGATTTTAGACTAGCTTATTCTTGTATTTTTTTGGTTTTTTGTTCGGTATTTAAGTTTTCTTCTAATTAATTCGGATTGATTCGTGTCACGCACCTAAAATTAATGGGTGAATTTTTCAACAAAAACTGCTGCATACACAAGATCTTAAACTCTTATTTAAGCTGAAACAAACTGCTTACCACTTTATCTAACTCGTCGTTGATAGCTTATTCTTGTCGTTGATATTAAGTTTTTATTTTTTAGTCTTTACCACGTGCATCAGTGGGTCCCGAGTATTAGATATTTTTGTGCTTATCTCATTGAGACTGCACCGTGACAAATTGTCTAAAATCAGCGTGATCTTATCGAGCTTCTTTTCTCACGCATCGAATTCATTTCATTGGGTATTAGATATTCGCTGCAGATTTTTTTGCCTCGTTGACTGAGGTACTTTAATTTAATCAACTTCAAACCAGCCCAAAAGGTCACAACCAAGTGGGACAATGTGCATGTGCCTTATCACGCAAGAGTCGAGAGATGGGGAGATGTAGAGGGTGTTTGTCGAGACTAAAAAATTATTTGTTTTAAAGGGTAAT